AGGAATGCCATGAATATAGGCAGAGCACACGGTACAAGTAAGACTTGAATCTAAGCCTTAGACAGTATTGGATTGTTTTTGTGTTGCACCATATCATTTCCTTCTGTTGTTGTATTGGTTCTGTGAACCACTTTTAAAAAGTTATAAATTAAACTGACTAACATCTATGTGTGTGTCGATATATATATATATATATATATTTCTGCAAATTATATTTTCTAGCTTCATATTTTGGATACTAATTTGACTTTCTGGTGGTGTTTAAACTACAACTCAGTGAGGATGGTAGCAAAGTAGATGTTACTCATAGCTTTTGTTGCTACTACTGCCACCCCCTAAAATCTGGTAATGTGAAGCATCTGATGATATATGTCAAACACTTTGGCTTCTAGAACTTACTTGCTCTGAACTTAGTGCATGCCCAAGTCAAAATTATTTTTATGACTGCTTTAAAGTGACTGTGTCTTTTAAATAAACTGCTATTCAAAAGCACTTAAATATCTAACAAAACAAGAGAAAGTCAATTCTGCAGTGTCATGCCTATTGTGTTATGCAAGGAGCTGCTACTGGCAGCCCGTGTCACTTTCAAAACACTAGGAAGAGTTTAACAAATAGTGTTTGTAATATTTCATACAACCACAGGTTTTATATGACAAAAGACTCAATGCTAACTCAAACATTAGCGCTGACACAATTTAAACCTTTTCTTTACTGAGTTTCTTATTGGTTCCCACCAGTAACATTTCTTCTTTAGATGTATTTATTTCCAATTACAAGAAATCTGTAAAAAAGTTCCATGAGGCTAGCATAACCAGCTGGCATAACAGCAGTAAGGCTGCTGTTCACATACTTACAAAATGCTTATATGTTCAGTCCAAACAACCTGCTGAATTGCTGGTCTTCAGTGGTCCACAATTTCAGAAACAGCTTATTCCTTACCAGAGAGACCTTAAATATGATACATGTTTTAGAGGCTTTAAGCCCTCTGAAGACACCATCAGCAAGAGTCTTTCATCTGCTCCAAGCTGAAACCTCACCATCCCATTAAAGACTCCTTCCCTACTGCCTCTTCAGTGAAAGAGAATTTTTTTATATTTTGAGTTGGGGATCTGTCCTCGTGTCTTCAGACGTCTGACTGCTTCACGCATATGTTTTGGCTGCAGAGGTGGTGATTCTCCCCACTTCTCACATACATCTAGTGCTGTACAAATCAAACAAAAGCAAGCCTTTGTATCACTTTTTAAATTCAGTATAGCTAAAATGCATAGATGGCTACAAAATCAGTCTTAGGCCCCGGTCACACGGGCAGGAAAATGCGGGGGGGGGAGCATGGCTGTTTGCCCCGGAGCAAAATAATGTGCGGTTGCGAGATCAGACGTCCTGTAGAGGTCCCGTCCAGGTCCCATGGTTAGGGGGGAGGTGCCAATCACAGGACAATTCTGCGGCACGGCAAGGCAAAGAAGTGGCCTCTCTAGCAAAAGGCTCCGTGTGTTTAACCCCTTCCAGGGCTGCAGAGAAATGCAAACTGTGTCCTCTGTCCAGTCCCCTCCAGGAGGAGCTTCAGCCAGGCCGCCCTCCCGCCCGCCACGCCCCCCCTGCACCTCCCCCTCTGCCGCCCGGTGCAGAGTTCCTCTCGAGCAGGCCGAGGCAGGAGTGGGGGGGGGGTACGGAAAAGAGGAGGGGACTGTGTTGTTTGTTTTTAAACGAAGTGTGCGCATGCGCTGTTGGGTGCTTGTGCGCATCTTGTGAAGACTTGGGAAAAAAACCTTTTAGCGATGGGACATGGGCGGGCGCCGGATGCCACGACCTACCACCAGAAACGCGATCAGGCGCCCGCCCTTGCCCCGCGAATTCCAGAAACTAGTACCTCGGAGGTACTAGTTTTTTACCCTGCATCTTCGGCGGGAAGCCTCGGGTTCGCCACGGGAGCTCTACGCTTCCCAGATGTGGCGCTGTGATTGCGCCCGGAAAATCCGCCTATCTTCCGTCTCTGTAGCGTGGCTAATGCTCCGTGTGACCGCAGCCTTACTTCTACAAACACTGCATTATAAATTAGTAGAGGCAATCGAGTTGTCTCTACAAGTCTTGCCATTCTGATAACTAGTCATAATGTAAGTTAGCCTATAAAAATGACATAAGAAGTTGCCCCATATATAACTCATTTCTCTTATTTGCTTACATGCATATTGTAACTTACATCTGAACCTCAAAGACAGAAAATAGTTTACCTGAATTTTGTGACCTGGTCAACCAAAAGTGTAAAGTTAAGACATGTTTGCCATTTAAGTTTCTATATTACCCAACTTACTAAACATCAATTCATTCCAGAAGCAATGTAGCCTTCCTTGCAAGGAAAAAAATTCACCCGACACTTATCCTCACTCTATTTATTGACTTCATCAGGATTTCAAATGCTGCCACACACAATGTATCACAGTGATTAGTTCAGATGTATTGGATAAGATTTCTCTACAGTTAACTACAAATTACTTTTTTGTGGTCTCTGTGCACCACACTGATAGGATTTGTGCCTGCACAAAACTCAATCTTGGAAGTTTCTAGAGTACCCATTCCCACAGCTGAAGTTAAAGGTGAGGTCAATTTCTGTGAGCCTGCCATGTAAACTTGAGACAGTGTTTACAAGTTTCAGTGCTGTGCTCTTGGCCCAGGCAGAACAAACAGTAGTTGTGACCATGAGTCGATTCCAATTTACCACCACAATCACAGCAATTTTTAAACAATTTTTTTTCTCACCATTAAACCAAAGGCACACAATAAAGAGGAGGCAGAAGCCTTCAAAGAGGTCAATATGGATATTCACTCACTCCAGATGAAGAAGTAGCCCTAAGGGAAACAACCCTTGGAGAAGTTCTCTTGAGATGCATCTAGTGTGGCAGATGGCATGATTCCTGCCCCAGGGCATGCACATTTTGATCCTGCACTTGGGAGGGGAGGGGTTTTTCCATGCCTATTTTGTTGCTCTCGATGGTTCTGAGATCTTACTATGTGCAAAGCCATCAGTGTGAATGCACAGGTGACCACTCAAAACAAAAATTATAGGTAAAGCAATCTGGTTTTAGGTACCTTGCACATATCATCCCAGTCTTGTCCCATCTACACTGGCTCCCAATTTGCTTCCAGACCCTATTTAAGGTGCTGGTATGGACCTATAAAGCCCTGTATAGCTTGGGGCCAAAATACCTGAATGACCACTGTCTTCAATATGAACTTACCCATCCACTCTGGTAATCTTCAGAGGCCTTGCTTCAGGTGCCCCCACCAACTGAGGCTAGATGGGTGGCAACCCTAGAAAGGGCCTTCTCAAGTCATGGCACCAAAACATTGGAACTCCCCCTTTTTTGTCATCAAGTTGCAGCTGATTTAAGGCAAGAGATGCTCAAAGCTGGTTTTCCATTGCCTGACTCTGCGTAATAATGCTAGTATTCCTTGGTGGTCTCCCAGGCAAATACTGACCAAGGCTGACCCTACTTAGCTTCCAAGATTTGGTGAGATCAGGCTAGCCTAGGATATTCAGGTCATGGGTGGAACTCCCTACCTAAGGAAATTCATCTGTCTCCCTTTGTCATTGTCTTCTGCTGCCAGGTAAAAAAATTCCGTTTTGTTGGGTATACCTCCAGTAAACTCTTCTTGGCTCTCCTCTGTGGTTTTTGTATATCTATATGTTTTATTCCATTATTAAATATTTTACATATACATTTTGAATGCTGTTTTAAATTTTTTAATGCATCAGTGTTCGATGCCTTGGAAACCCTACTTTGATGGAAAGATGGCATAGAAATGTTTTAAATAACATCTAAATCTCTGCATACAGGAGGCTGTGCTTAGACATTCACAGATTGGCTGGGGCTGGTACTTTTAAGAAGTTATAAACACAATAGAGGAACTGTGAATATTTATTCTTAATATAAACATTACATAAAACCTGATGAACAAAATGCTGCATTCCTTACAACTGAACATCCAGGGAACTACAGGAATGGCTGTCATCACAGATAAGTGATCATCACCTTCATTCATACTGTTGTGTAGTTTTAAGAAGCATACTGAGATTTATTCCATTCTGAAATAATCTTCTGGTGCTTACCTTCTTCTACCACTTCCCCAACAAAGACTTTGGAAATTCCTGACATAGCAATGACCACATTCTGAGAAACAGAGGTTCCAGTAATTGATTGGATCAGCTGAGAAAAGATTATTAAAGAGATTAAACATTTGGTCTGACAGTGCTAATTCTTATTGCTTTAATCTCGAAACACTGCTGTGAAATAACTAATGTGTGCTCTGTGGAAGACTAAAGTTGAAAATATGCAGGCTGTTTTATTAAAGTACTCTGCATTCATACATAGAATGCAGAGACACCTTGCAACAGGTTCATATGTTTACATAGAATTGGAACAGAACCTTACCCTTTTAATAGCAGCCTTAGGAAAAGCTGATCGGCGATACATCTCATAACGATTCAATTGTTCTTCAGAAAAAGAAGAAACTAATATTCTAGAGGAAACAAGGATTATACTGAAGGTTTCTTTCAAAAACTTTTCACATTAAAAGCATTTTAAAACTACAGAAATACATGTCTTGTAGTCAACATTTGAGGGAAAACAATGGTATGACGCTATATAATAAGTGATCAGAAGAAGAGTCATAGAGTGCCACTTGATACCTAGTACCACTTGATAGTTAACTTTTATATTAGGATGTTTAGTATTTAATGCAACGTGATTTAGAACATCCTTTAACACCCACAAACATTATGAAATGGAAAACAGCCGTGTAGCTCATGTACTAGCAAAAATTTATTTATGTATACCCCACTTCTTTTGGCCAATGGTGACCCACATTGGCTTACATTCCCATCTCTTTAATTTTATTCTCACAACTCTCTGAGGTACGTTACAGAGTTCTGGAACCTCTTCAACAAAATTCTTTTAAAAATGCTTAAAAATTCATAACTTTTCAGTATGCAGATTGAAAACTTCATTTCCCTCTTGAGAGTTCCGACTCCTCTGTTGTTGTTTTTTTAAAAAGCCCTCTGTATGTGTCTGTGTGTGGGTGTGAGAGACAGACACACACAGACGGACATAGACACTGAATAGCCTAAGGTCACTCAGCAAGTTTTCCTGACAGATTGGTGTTTCAAGAACCAAAAGGGTGAGAAGAAAGTCTAATGAAGGACCAATATTAAAAACCTAGTTAAAACTTATAATATACAAAAATACAAGTATTTATTGGAAAGACAGTTAAAAACATACATAAGGGCCCAATGGGTCTCCCAGATCCTAATCCAACATGGTAACCACTACATTACGCTGGAACTCACAATCATAAACTTCAGTATTTTATATAATATGTGACTACACTGATGACCTGAGTAAGGCTTTGCAAATTCCTGGTAAGTCATTTAGCACTAAAGAAAACAATCTGCCATGGGGCTGGAAATACTTACTGCATTTTTTGGATTTCATCTTCATCAACTTTGTGCTTTTTCTCTTTTTTATCCTTTATCTCTATTTTTATTTTCTTGGCCGCACAGGCCTGTGATGTAGATTCCTCCAGTTCTCCAAGGGCCAATTCTGCAGCTTCCTTGCTTTTAATCTAGTAAAAACAATTTACCTAACAGTTGTGTATCTATTATGCATCTCATGTATTAGTGATAGTTTAATATAGCTGTTAAAACACCAGTGATATTAGCCCACTCTCACTATTGGCTTGCACTTTTTTAAAAAAGTAACAAACTTGTAAAGGAAGTAGTTAAATGGTAGACTGTTATTTAATATTTGTTCCTGCTCTCCATTTTGGCATTTCTGTACATGTCCCTTTCCAATGTAGATATATGCTATCAACTACCAGTATGTAAATGTGTAAGTAAACAAAGGAAAACATCAATATATTTTCCATTTTCACATCCCTAGCAGTAGAAAAGAGCAAGAGTACAGTTGCACCTTAAAGACTAACAAAATTTGTGGCAGGGTATGAGCTTTCATGAGTCACCGTTCACTTCTTTAGATACTCATGAAAGCTCATACCCTGCCACAATTTTTGCTAGTCTTTAAGGTGCTACTGGACTCTTGCTTTTTTCTACTGCTACAGACAAACACAGCTACCCATCTTAATCTATCTTTTTGCATACCTATTCTTATATCAAGGATACAGAAGCTTCAGAGTCATCTCTTCTTCCTTATACATTACTAAAAGTTCTTCACTTGCTGTATATTTTATTTATTTACTCTGCAATGCCCTGTATTGCATTAACTTCTGAAATAGGGTGTCAGTAAATGGGCAGTGAAGGCTTCCTTAAAAACAAGCATCTGCTTAACCAAACAATTAACTTTACATAGTTGCACTTACTGAAGAATAGGAGCAATACAATTTACAGGCAACATTTAGCATTTTGATAAGCAGTTGTGGCAGTGGAGAGACAGGGAAGGCAAACATTGAACTGGGTGGCCCAGGCTAGCCTGATCCTGTCAGATCTTGGAAGCTAAGCAGGATTGACTTTGGTTAGTGTTTGGCTGGGAGGCCACCAAAGCCCAGGATCGCAACGCAGAGGCAGGCAATAAGAAGCTACCTCTGAATGTCTCTTGGCTTGAAAGCTCTAGTTTACAGGGTCACCTTAAGTCGGTTGCAACTTGACTGCACTTTCCACCAAAATTTAAATATGAAGATTAAGTCATCATCATTCATTGGAGACTGAACTTTCAGCGATTTAGCGAAGAGTAGGTGTGTGCCCCACTAACCAAAGTTTTAAAAGGCATCCCGACAAAGGCAAACTAAATATGGTAAATTGTAGAATTTGTAGCACAACAGGAGAAATATACGCCATTTCTGAGTAGGAACTCAGCATGTGCTAGCAGTACGCCCGTCAATCTTTATTCCCCCTCCCCCGAGAAACAAGGCAAAGCCAGCTAAAGTAGCTTAATAAGAGTCCAGGGTATCGCGCACTCCCATTTTTCTTCTCTACCCACCTCTACACCCGGTACCTCCACCTTAACCTCCGCAGACTCCTTCTCCTGCCCCGCGGCCACTTCCACAGCAGAGAGGTCAGCGGGTGCAGAAAGAGAAGACGGAGGAAGAGTAGCGTCTTCTCGCTCAGACTCCGCTGCTTCCGCCATGTCTGAACAACCGACTCTGTCGGGCTCTGATGACATCACTAAGCAGGCTTCTTCCTCCCCTTTGTCCACTGTTTCCATGACAACACTTCACGCCCAAGCGGCAGGAGCGGCTGAATAGTGAAAACGCGGAGGGTTATATGCAAGGATATGCTATTGGACAAGGGGTTCTTTCGGTGTTTGGTTAAGTTTTGTTTTTACTTTACTGAATATTAAGAGATGGTGGAGCTTTCAAAACGCATACATCCACATAACTTTAAACCTGTCATCACGTTTGCATATAGGGCACAGAGTTCTGAGAGGGGGGAATTAGGGGTGCCCCATAGTGTATAGATATAACAGTAAGGTAAAGGTTCCCTTGCTCGAAAGCCAGTCGAGTCCGACTCTAGGGTTGGGGTGGTCATCTCCGTTTCAAAGCCAAAGAGCTTTGAACGGCATGACTAAACACCAAGGCGCATGGAACGCTGTTACCTTCCCACCGAAGTGGTCCCTATTTATCTACTTGCAATTTCTTGCTTTCGAACTGCTAGGTTGGCAGGAGCTGGAACTAGAGACGTGTCATGCGGCAACTCTTGAACTGCTGAACTACTGACCTTCCACAGCCTGCAGTTCAGCGTCTTAACCACTTGAGCCACCGCAGCTCCTAAGATATAACAGTAGCGTATCTCTTATCAAGGAAGCGTGTATGTTCTTATGTATATGAAAGAGAATTCAGAGGAGATCTTGATCTTGTGGCCAATGGTGACTGGCATAGTTTGAAATTTTTTCTTTAAGGCTAATCCAAAAACAGAGACATATGACCACTGGTTTTTAACATTCACAGTAGAAGCTGACATTTTTATCACCTTCTTCCTACAGGTGTCCGATACTAACTCCACCATGCACTCCAGCACCTCCAAGTCAGCAGATCTTCCAAAACTGGAACAGGCTAACAGAGCAATTTTATATTCTGGTGGGTAGCCGGGTTGGTCTGAAGCACCAGAACAAAATTTGAGTCCAGTGGCACCTTTAAAACCAACAGAGTTTTATTCAAGGTTTAAGCTTTTGTGTGCATGCACACTTCTTCACAGATGTAAGCAGGATTCTGTGGAACTGCTTATGATGGCTTTCAAAGAGACTTTAAGATCATTAACTTATTTATTTATTAAATCCAATTTTTATACCTCCCGTTCCCTGAAACAAAGGTTCAGGGCACTGTACAACATCATACTAAAACAACAGATCCTATAATTAGAAACATTTTAAAATTACAATAAAATTCCAGTATCAATTCAAAATTAAACAGATGTCCCCAAACATGTTTTTGTCTCCCCTCCTTAAAAAAAAATAAATCAATCCTGATTAAAAGTTCTGGATAATTCAAAAGCTTGCACACTTTTATGTGTTATTTTGGTTGGTCTTAGTACATGAGTTTTGTTTTTAGATTTTAATATGAGCCAATGCATTGCATCTACCTAGAACTTCTGTCTTCTTTAAGGCAATTACTGAAAACAGCAAACAACTGCTGTGATCACAAATAAGATGCTGAGAATCAAGGACACACTTGCCTTTTGGCTTGGCTTATAAGATCTCATGGTTGCTATTAGCATAAAGCTTGCTAAGCTAAGCAAACAAAAAGCCTCATTTAAAAACTAGGATATGTTTTTGCTATGTTCACTGTGGGTGGAATGAGTTCACAACTAACCATGAAAACACAGGGGGTGGGAGGCAACTGCAGATGGTTCAGTAAACTACAGTAAACAGAAGTATGAAAACAATCTGGACTGACCTGGTAGACTAGTGTTCAAAGTTGTCTTCTCAGATCCACCTCTTGCTTTTTAATTTTCTTTTAATCATACCAGCAAGATGGGCCTTGCCCTTTCCACTTTTCTAAAATTAAAGCCAGGTTGTTTACTTGTTTCAGGGCTGTGACACAGATTCATTAGTGGCTGGTCATATTTATTTATTTATACCCCACCCTCCCTGCTGGAGCAGGCTCAGGGAGGCTTACACAGGGTAAAATACATAATAACAATCAGAATTCCATAAAACATTTAAAAACAGTTCATTAAAACAATACGATATTAAAATGCTAGCTATGTTATTTTATGTCATATCAATGATGTTACCACATGAGTGCAATCCATAAGTTGTTTAAGTATGCAGCTCACTGATCTTCCTCAGATATGATCAGCTCACACAGGCTGTCAGTAACCAGCCAGGGACCAGGCTCTACAGGTTTTAGTTGTCATTGATAGTGGTGGTGGGCTCCTAGTTAAAAGCCTGGTGGAAGAGCTCCGTCTTGCAGGCTCTGCAGAACTGTAAAAGGTCCCGCAGGGCCCTGATCTCTTCCGGGAGCTCATTCCACCAGTGTGGAGCCGCCATATCCTCATTAGATAAATTTCCAGTAACTGTCCTTTTAAAACCCCCGTGGTGTTCCTTGCATGTTCCTACAGTTAGTACTTTGCCATTGAAACTTGGGGCTAGTGCATGGTTGCCATGGTTCTTATACATTAAAGTTGAAAAGATAATGTTTTCAAGCATGTGGATGCTGCAGACAGGAATTCAGGAAAATAATATATTTTATTTGTTTATGTTTTATAATAATCATTGCAATGTTATTAATCCTGATCGCACATTGATTGTTAATTTACATATGTGGTGGAACGAAGGGATGCATTTCTTCTTTAGTATGCAGGCAACTACTTTAAGTGTCCAGATTGGACCATAGGGGCCCAGAGGAATAATCACATTTTGTCTGAAACACTTGGGGAACATCTACTCTTTTACCCTTAATCATTGGTATATCTAGCAACAATCTAGCAATATCTACTCTTTTACCCTTAATCATTGGCATATCTAGCAACAGTCAGGTAGCACATACCCTGACCCATATGCATTGCTAGAGCTGGTCAGTTCTGAGATCCACTACGGCTGAAAAGAGGGAGAGGGCTGGGACCAAGGGCACCTCATAAAATAACAGCCATGTACCAACAACAGCCTAACAGTTGAGAGTTTGGAAATGGTGAACAAAGAGAACGGGCAAAGGCACAGGCCTTACCCCCCCATCTATTCTATAGCACTATTTGTTGCTCTAACTGACAGTTGCTATCCACTGACAGCTCTTCCAGGCATCTTTCCCAGTCCCTCCATTTGTGATTCTTTGACCAGGAAAAAAATGTTATTCTGAATAACCCTGTTACTCTTTCTCTGAATTATAAACTAATCCCTAACCACCTCAGTGTTACAAAAACACCACAACATCTACCATAGTGTTTGTTTCAACTCTAGCTGTGAATACTTTACATACAAGAGACAAGTCTGCTGGGTTTGTTTCTGTTACAGAAATGTTTCTAAATCAGATCCCCCACCCTGTGACCTACTGATTCTAGAGAGAGGGCTGCATTATCCAGAAGACAAATACTGCAATACACCTTCAGCACTAACCATTCTTTTGAGAGGCAGTTCCCAACCTTTTTGGTATAGTGACCCATCCAGGGCTGGTTCAAGGGTTCTGACATTCCATTTCCTACAATCGGTAACCTGATGTTTTTGAGAAAAACAAACATTGCAGAAAGGGTGCGGCTGCCTCTACTATGTACCCCAAGTAAGTGGCATTCCAAAATACACAGCCTTTGCATATGAAGGTTACATTCCAGACTTTGGCCACCCTCTCCTTCTACATTACTCCCTCTAATCCCCCCTAAAATTCTACAAAATTCACTCTAGTAACCATCAGGACACATTTTACTTAATCAACATGTATATGCAGTAATGGCTGACATGTTTCCAGGGTCAGATCTTGGTTTCCAAACTACAAACAGAGCAGTAGAAAGGGCAGGGGCAGCCCCCTGACCCACTTTCAGAGACTTTGTGACCCACTTTTGAGTCCCGAACCACAGGCTGGGAAACACTGCTCTTGGAGGTTTAATCCCTCCTGCCTCCCTATTCCACAATACCAGGGCTAAATGCACAAGAGAGCCAGAGGTGTTCCACACCTCAGCACTTCTACACGGAAGGCAGAATTTGAGAGGAAATCACTGTAAAACCATCATACGTTATGTAGATCTCTGTCTGCAGCTGTGCCCAACCCATCTGCAGCTTCCCAACATATAGCAAAAATACTTGGGTGTAAAGATCTCCGCTTCGCAACCTCAGTACAGGATGATCTACAAAATAATACTTCAAAAATTAATAAGGTATGAAGCAGCCCCAAAGTGATTTCCTCATGAAGATGCTGGTCTCCTTTGTCCTTTAGAGACGCTGTCGAACCTTGTAGCTCTGTATGAAGAAAATATGTTCTTTCCTGGTTGCAGCAATCTCTCTGGTGCCGGAGTGGATATTTCCTATTTTTAAAAAAGGACCAAGCATGACAGTGCTGTTCTGTTGAGAAATGTAGCAGCCTCGTCATAGGCGAGAAGCACGGAAAGAACTATAATTGCCTGTACAATCCCGCCATTTCCTTTGCCTGTCTGGCTGACTGGGAGTAGTGGATGACCAAGGAGGGGGTGTGGTCTCCTTGGCCCCACCCCGGAAGGACGCACCGGCTGAGGGGAGTGACGGCGGCAGCAAAGGAGTAGTGGAGGTGGGGCGGGAAGGGGGGCAGGCTGGCTTCCCGGGCTGAGCCCGGGCCATGGGGAAAGAGCAAGAGCTGCTGGAGGCCTCCCGCACCGGGAATCTGCCTGCTGTGGAGAAACTGCTGTCAGGCAAGCGCCTCAGCTCGGGCTTCGGGTCTGGTGGCGGCTCCGGGTCCTCAGGGGGAGGCGGCAGTGGAGGTGGCGGCGGCGGCGGGGGGCACCCGCTTTCCAGCCTTCTCAGGTAGGTCCCTGCCAGGGGTGTGGCCGTGGTGTCTGTGGGCGTCCGAGCGTGTCTTGTAGAGGCTGGTGGCGAGAGCTCGGTGCCTGTGTGCTGCTGGCTCTTCGGTGGCTGGAGGCGTGTCTCGGTTGCTCTCCTTGAGGTGCGGTTGCTCGTGGACAGAATCTCCGCCTTCCAAAGGCACACGAGAGCCTCAGGCGAGGGAGAGGGCCATGCATTTGGATTCGCTGCCCGAGGTGTTATTGAGTGTCTAAAAGCCTCCGGCGGCGTGTTATGCTACATGATTTTTAAAAACAAATTGTCGTTTCGCAGATAGGAGTGTGGAGTTCCTGTGAGGTGCTTGGAGGGCTGTGGGTGTGTAGTTGGCATAGCTATTTCTGGGTTTCCGGGTTTCCTCAAGTAAGTGGCTTTCAGCTGGTGAATTATGATAGGCAGAGGCGTTGGCTGGGGGAGTTCATTTGTGAAGGTGTTCTTTTCCTTTAGGAGACTAGACCAGAGAAACATCAGATGTGTTGAGGTGGACTTATGGCTAACATGTGGCTGTGTTGTGTAAAGAATCCCTTGTAAAAGAAAAGTTTCTCTCATAAAATAGTGGATCAACCAAGTTATGGAAATTTTCATTGTCAGTAGTTGTGTTATGAGACACAGTTGGTTCCATATAAAGATGTAGGCATTACTGGTCTTCTCTTGGATCTAATTTATAGCTTTTGCCTGAAGCACTTTGCATGCTACCATTTTTGGTCCCTATGTGGCTTAAAAGGACTTTAAGAGCCAAGAGAGAGTAAGGGGTGGGGAAACTGAGGTTATATGTAAAGAATGTATGCAGTGTAAAGTTAATTGGATCTCCTTTGATGGGTCAGGAGTGGGCAGCCATTGCTGTCTCCCTCTATCTTATGTCACCTTTCCACTCAATTTGGGGTCCCCAAGAATTAAAACTGTCTAAAAATAATTTAAAAACACAATTAAACAAAATATAAACTGGAAGGAGGGTTAGTGAAGTGTACTGTTCCCAGAAATGTGGATTTTCTTCCCAGTAATGTAGCTTTGGAGCTGCGGTGGCTCAAGTGGTTAAGACGCTGAACTGAAGCTGTGGAAGGTCAGTAGTTCAGCAGTTCGAGACCCGAGTGTGCCGCATGACGGAGTGAGCTCCCATCTCTAGTTCCAGCTCCTGCCAACCTAGCAGTTCAAAATCAAGACATTGCAAGTAGATAAATAGGTACCACTTCGGTGGGAAGGTAACAGCGTTCTGTGTGCCTTGGTGTTTAGTCATGCCGGCCACATGACCATGGAAACGTCTTCGGACAGCACTGGCTCTTTGGCTTTGAAACGGAGATGAGCACCGCATCCCTAGAGTCGGACTCGACTGGCTTTCGAGCAAGGGAACCTTTACCTAATGTAGCTTCTGCTGCATGAGAGTCAATATGGGATAGTTATTAGGATGTTGGGACTAGGACCTGGGAGATCTGGGTTCAAATTCTTGCATGCCATTAAACTTTTTGGGGTGACTTTAGGCCAGTCATTGTCTCTCAGCCTGATTTGGGTTAGTAGGATAAAATGCAGAAGGGAAGACTTATCTGTGTTTCGAACTGAGCTGTTTGAAGGAAGGTGGAATACAAAAGGCATTGAATAAATAGAGGTGATGTCAATCAAGAAAGCTCTCTTGCGCTTGCTCCCCCCAACAGACAGAAGCTTCTTTACATGCGAAGTTAATTTCTTGCCTTAATATGTTCACTTGACATCAATGTTAATGTTCACTTGACATCAGGTGCAATTTTGTTTTCCAGTTACACATTTTGGAAAGTTGTTTTTTAAGCGCTTTGTAGTCAGAAAGCATTTTTATGATCCTGAATATTTTGATGATGTCCTCAGATATGGTTGTTCTGCTGTTTACTCTAGGTCCTGATGATTTATGAACATTAAATAGCATTAATCCCAATATTAGTTCCTTGGGGACTTCGTTGCTTGTGTCTGTTGTGAGAACTGACCACGTAATCTTACATTCACTGCTTCCCATTGCTTAATATTTTCTTTCACCTGATGTCTTAGCTTGATTCAGAAGACTTTGGTGCAGACTTTTTGGAAGTTTAGATATACAGTGTTCTGTCACAAACATATTTTGGACAGTGGTTTTTACACTCCCCTTTCTCTAACAACAGCCCATGAAAAGCCCTTCTAGAGAACTGTAGGACCCTTGGGGACATTGTGGGATGCAACACAAGGGGCAGCAGGAACAGATAACTAGGAGACCCCCACTTGTGCAAGTTCTTCTTTGATTTATGTGCAATTTCTGCCGTTTTCTTCTGGCTGTGCCTATGCCACACATGTGTGAGGTCCTGTTTTCAGAGGACTGCAGTGGAGAAAGGGATATTTTCTGCAAACTTGATGTAAAGTCAACCCAGTTTCTATCAATCATAATATCCACGTGCTTGTTAATATTCCCAGAGAATTCCAATCTATTAATGAGGTGGGACTTCCCTTCCTTGTTTTCCCTTCTTCTGTGCTGATTCTTCCTCAATGTTTTTATTTCTGCATGCTTAATTATTCTACATTTAATAAAACCTTCCACAGTATGCCCACTGATCTTTGATTTCTTCGCTCTCCCTGGATCCTTCTTTAAGAAAACAAATGGCTGCACCAATTGGTTTTAAAGAAATGAAGAAAACACAATGGTGCAGTGGGAAGAAAACTTTATTCCATCCAAAATATTAGTACTCCTACATGTTTCATGTTAAGCTTCTTTGGGGGGATTTGTGGACTATAAACACAGTAATGTTGCCACTAACCCAGCTTTTGAAGTGTTTTATATTCCACAGATCCCCCTGAAAAAGCTTAATGCGAGATGCATATGGGATATTAATATTTTGGAATAAAATCTTCATCTCACTGCACCATTGTTTATTCTTAGTCTCTTTTCTCCCTGGAACCTTCTTTAACAATTGGTGATACGTTAGGTATTTTCTAGTTCTCCAATAAGGGAGGCAAATTTTAGTGACAAGCTACCTGATGTTGGGCGGCCACCGGGCTTTACAGGTCGTGGCTGGGTGGCTCAAGCTGAGCCGGCTAAAGCTGAACCCGGCGAAGACGGAAGTCCTGTGCCTGGGTCGGGGTGGTATGGGATTGGGACTCCTGCTCTCGGCCTTCGATGGGGCACCTTTGGTGCCAGCTTCGGAGGTTAGGAGTTTGGGAGTGCTCCTAGACCCCACCTTAACGATGGAGGCCCAGGTGGCGGCCACTGCCAAAGCAGCCTTTTATCATCTACGGCTGGTGCGGCAGTTGGTCCCCTTCCTTAGCCG